AAAAAAAAAAAAAAAAAAAAAAAACTTGAGTTATGCCTATCCCTTCTCAACTTGAATCTATGATGCTGATTGACCTAATTATCAACAACAGCAAACCAAATCAAACCAAACCATGTGCAGACTGCAAACTAGAAAAGAAAAGAACTTTAAATTGCACAAGTCAAAAGATGGCATTTTTTAGTTTAATATAATGAACGAATTAAACTATTGAGTTCCATTTTCTCAATAAACAAACCAATCTCCATCCTTTTGACGTAATACAGTTGGAACTTGTTTGTTACATAGCCCATATAACCTGAAATTCAAACACATGCATTTCTGGTAACTTAGTTGAATGTTATCTACTAATTCACGACAAATCATGGTCATCTCATGTGAAGTGGGAATATTAAGCGGAGGGTAAGGTTTTTTCGGGGGTTGCATAACTTGTTATTGTTCCCGGAAAAAAAAATGCAAAGCACAATTTGTTTTGTCTATAGTCTATCGTTTGGTATCTAATTATGTCCAGTCTTTTTGTGTTAGTATAAGTTTTCTGAATACAAGAGATAGTCTAAACTAAAATAAGGAAAGTTGTTTCTCACATGACACTACCACTAGGCTAGACCCCGTTGGTTGCATTAATTAAGTTTGTTGTAGCTAGATTGGGTTGAATATTTTGTTTCTCCAACAAAAATGATTGGAAATTTTGGATGAACAGTTACATTATTTCAAGATATTAATGGAAAAACATAATCATCCCTGCTTTCTTCCATAAATTATGGGATTTGGAAGTTAACTTTACGGGTACATACGTAGTGTGCCCGTCTTGATCACTTGCACGTTGAAGTGTAAGATTCTTATTCAAATTATTTTCCTTTAATTAGCAAATAATGCAATATACACGTGGCAAATGACAAGTGGCCAGACGCCTGTGATTGTAGCAATGTTGAAGTTGGCAGAGTCGTAGAGGATCAAGACCGAAGGCAAGTCCACATCTCTCTCAACCGCAGAAACACCGCCTATCGTGCAGCAGCGTTTCACGCTACACTTACAATGCATGCGGACATGTGCTATGCCCGCACGTTCTTGTTCGGTTTTGACTTTTGAAACGTGAATGATTCGTGTCCATATCTGATAGGGTAGCCACATGGCACACCGTGCCCATGCTGCCGTATATCCTCACTTCCAGTAAACAATCAAACGACTGTATCCGTAACATTCAATACACTTTCTTTTCCGTATATCCTCACGTATTTCATCTTCTTTTTTCCTTGCAATTACATTAACCTCAAATGCTTCTTTAATATAAGCGATATTCTATTTTAATCTTACAGTAAGGGGGATTCGAACTCAAATACAGAGTGGGGAGTACATCCGTTCTAGCCAATTTGACTAAATCTATGTCTATGCTTCTTTGATAGTTAAATCAATTTTAAACATTAACAATATTAAAATTGAAGCAAAGTCTCTTCAATCTATACCAATTAAGTATTCTGAGCCGGCAGAGTGGAGAATGAATTTTTTTTTCTTTTTTTTGTCAATGATTTAATTTTGATTTCAAAAGTGCAAAGGTGGCTATTGTTGTAAGCCTTTGAATTAAGTATGTTTTGACAAGAATTACCAATTTAGCACCTGTTTATGCACATAGGTTATTTGGTCCTTTGGGATCATTCTCCAAGATATTCTCCCTTGTTTTTGTTCATATGTTTTTTTTTTTTTTATGAAGAAAAGGGGGGAGATTGTTCATATGTTTTTTTTTTTTTTATGAAGAAAAGGGGGGAGATTGTTCATATGTTTTTATTAGCTCTTAAAAATTAATTATTTTTTATCTGTTGGGTCTAGTGCAAGATCCAAAACGTACACTCAAGCTACCAAATGAACATGCGCCATATCATCTATTGCTTATATTTTATTTTAAAAAAATAGAGGGGCCATTATGATTATAATTTGGATTCATAAAATGGGTAGCTTGGACTTTATTTATTTTTTACTTTTTTAATACGCTCTGAGTTTCAAAGTCACCTGAGAGTTGCCTATAAATTGGCAATCGGCATCCCAGCATACACAAACACACCCATCAATTCAAGAAAATACAAAATGGGAGCTCAAACTTTCACAACCCCAACCTCAAATTCAAACAATGCTCTCACATTTCTCCTCCCAATTCTCCTATTGATCTTCATGCCAAACATGCACACAACCTTGGCAACTTCTTCTTCTTCTCAGACCTACAAAACCTACGTCAAAACTGCCTGCAACACAACCACATACCCACTAATTTGCTACAAATCTCTCTCCTCATACGCCTCCAAAGTCAAATCCGATCCTCATAAGCTTTGTACCTATGCCCTCTCCGTTACCCTAAAAGCAGCAAAAAACGCCTCTTCCGTAGTTTCAAAGCTATATAAAAATACAGGATTAACCCCATCCGAGAAAGGGGTGGTCGAGGATTGTATAGACAATATTAAGGACTCCATCGACGAGCTCAAACAGTCAGTGAGTTCCATGAGCAATTTGGGGGTTTCGGGTTCCGACGTGCAATTACAATTGGATGATATAAAGACTTGGGTTAGCGCCGTCATCACGGATGACGCTACTTGCACGGATGGATTTGATGGTGTGAAGGTAAGCACCGCGGTTAAGACCGCCATCAAGAACAGCATTGTGAATGCTGCTAGGTTGGCTAGCAATGCTCTTTCTCTCATTGACAGCCTCATTTACTAGTTCAACCTATACCCTTTGTATTTCCTGACTTCTATATTTTATATTTTATTTTACTTTGGTTGATAGAAAGTTTATAGATTTTATAATTTATGTGTGTTTAATGTAATTAAAAGTTGTGTGAAATCACCTCATTCCTTAACCATGAGGTTGGGGGTTCGATCCCCGCTCATGGGAATTGAGCGCATTTCGTGGCCAGCCGTTTACCTCCATTGGGAGAGCTCCCGCGACGAAAGGAATTAGTCATTGTTGTCGGCTATGGATACCCTTGGGTCTCACCTAAAAAAAGTTGTGTGAAATGGTTTTGTGACAGTTGGAAGAGTGGTTTGTATGTAATTATGTATACTACTACTACTATATGTAATGTTGTACAACAGAGGGAGTTTTGAGCAATTTGATAACAAATAAGCAAGCCCCTCAGCCCCCCCATGTTGATCAAAGATCCCATCTATAATAATTGGCGATCGACAGAACTTTTATTCTATAGTTGTCTTTTAACATTTTTGTTGCCGGTGTATAAGATCTTCATTCATGTATGTGTATTCTCAAAACAAAGAAAAAAAAAATGAAGATCTTCCCATTCCCATGTGAGTTCACATTGATGCATATATGAATGATTCCAAAACCCTGTTTATAATAATCCAACCCCGCATCTTTCAGTGTAAAATGCAAAATGCTATACTATTATTGCCCAATTTAATTATTTGCCAAACGTTCTGTGAAATTGAAAGTCAAAAATGAAATTAAAAGTCAAAGACTACATGTAAGTCATGCATGCAAGTTTGTTGACGCTTGTTATAAACCAAGCCTGTCTGCCCAATAAGAACAGAACACATGGACCTCGCTAGCCACGTGGCAAAAGTGACCACAACTAATCCCCTCTTAATCGCCAACCATGCACGTTGGCTCAGGAGCATTTTTGCTCACCACTTTAACCATAGGTGTACCATCACCACCCTCCTCAATGCTTGACACGTGTCCATAGACATAACTATGATTCCATAAATACAAAGCAAAAGTTAACTATGGTTATGTCTATGGACACGTGTCAAGCATTGAAGAGGGTGGTGAGGGTACACCTATGGTTAAAGTGGTGAGCAAAAATGCACCCCGTTGGCTCGGTACCATCCAGGAAAACATGACGAAAGGCTATAGGTCAGCCATGTCGACGACAAGACCTCCCTTGACAACGGAGGATTCACCGCCTCTCAAAATACCATCCATGTCTTCTTCAATACCACGTGTAAACCACCTAACCCGTACCCTGATCAGATGGGACTCCGGCTGCTCATGACAGGCTACTCTGCTCACTCTTGGCCCCTAGTAAAAAGCATAAAGCCATCATGAGAAGAGAACGTGGAAGAACCCTGACCATTCCCCATTTGACAAGACGACCTGATGTGAGGTCCGAGCTGAGGTGACCGACTTAAAGAATATCTTGTGAATCTTCGTATAAATAAGGCTTGAATTTGTGTACAAAAGGGTATGACTTTTTCCCAAGTACAAAAGGAAGAAGACTTGCCAAATACACAAAAAAGATTACTCCTATTCTTATCATTATTCCAATATAAGCATCATACAATCAAGGAACCAAATCTCCTCCTCATTTCAAGTAAAAACACTTGTATTTCATACGTTGACCACAGGAAGTTTGAGGTCTAAACAAAGTTAATATTAGGCCTCATTTGTTAGGGAGGATTAGACTAAGACTAGTGAACGTAAGAAATGAAATTTGTTAAACTGTAAATACAGTAGTTTTATGCACAGTCGTTAGTTTTTCTTGTCTGTAAACAGTTTGTAATTGATAAAATTCCCACACGGCATCTCGGGTTTGTGATGTATAGTTGAAAGATGGCAACATGCCGGCCAAACAAAGCCCCTTAATTACCAGATATATGTTTTTTGGACCAGAATTCTTGTTTTCTCCAAGCGCAAGTGTTTATAAGTCAAATTTTAAATTGACAAACTCTTGCATTAATTCAGGCATGTGAATGGGGATGATCACATGGAGAATACATGATCTAATGATTCGATATCTTTTTTGAGTCCTTTCGAACTTGTTCTCTTATTATTAAACTAGCCTCTCCGCATGCGCTCCCGCGCCTGCGAGAGGCTTTTTTTAAAATTTTTAAAATTTATTTGAGAATTAAAAAAGATATTGGGTAGTTGTGTTCCATAAAAATAGGATCCATTATCTGATTTTTCTTTTAATTTTAATTTTTTTTAAATAAAAAAGTGTGAATTTACCATATTATACTCATTTAATTAATAATTTCAATTCTTAATGTTTGTATTAACCAATGGTATTTTTTGGTATTTTGAATGTTTCACCATTCTTTACCTTTTACTTTATATATATAGATGAAATTAGAATGTGTAACATGAGTTTTGGAAAATTTAATTAAAATATGCTTGCATTAGGTCAGTGGCACTACCTAACCATCCATTAAAAAAAGGTCATTGGAAATCATGTGTTAAGATTCTAACTCACTACTATCAACATCGATGTTATCTATAATTTAACTACCGCATTCTGACATGTCTATGTGTGAGATTTTATATAAAATATATCAATACTATTAGTGGTGAATCTCTTATATCTTAAAATATTCAAATAATATATTGTGAAAGGAAAAGTAAGTCATCATAAGTGATGGGTGCCCACGCCATTGCGATTTGCCTACGTACGTAGGCCATTCTAGATGGATAGATTTATATACGACCTGACTGGGGAAGGGAAAGGAAAGGAACGCCTAATAAAATTCATTCTGAAATCATGATTGGAAACTTTATTGTCTTTCTTTTAGGTATAAACTAAATTCCAGAGCCGCGGTTGTGGATAAGACACGATTCTTAACTTATATTTATGAAATATATCTAAACTTTGCACCACCCATTATTTACCAATTTCTGCGTTTTTAACATGAAGGGCATGAAAGGAAGAAGATGATATGTCGTCTTGCTTTTTCTTTTCTCTTTCTTTTTGGTTAAGAGATATATACATATATAAGATATCCTCTTGCTTTTTGATTCATATGCTAAAAGGAAAAGCTCAAGGATTGGATAAAGCCGGAAACTTCGTTGCGGTGTCCCAAACCCAATCCCCAATCCCCAATCCCCAATCTTCAATCCCCTCCGTTTGATATTTGTTGGCCAAACCAAATGCATTTGAAGTCACCTTGTAGTAGATGGATAGATTGTTGAGTTTTGTTTTCACGTGGTCTTCTTCTTCTTCATCTTCAAAGCCTTACTCTCTCACGTGGACATCGTCACCACGCAACTTCCCACAAACGTCCCTCTTTGTCCACTCCCATCCCAACAGTTTCACCTTTCACACTCAACACTACTCATCCATATATGTTTTTAGTTATTGCTTTTCATCGCTAGTATTTAATTGTCTACGCGCAAAAACTATTATAAATTATTGATGCGTAAAAACAAATAATTGTGACTATTTATGCATTAGAATTCCGTACAATTAAGACTTATAATTGCGGACACAATGCATCAACGACACACAATTAGGCACGTATAACTAAGAAATTATTGATGCGTAAAAATAGATAATTGTGACTATTGATGCATCAAAATTCCATACAATTAAGACCTATAATTACGGACACGATGCATCAACGACTCACAATTGTGCACGTATAATTAAAACTTACAGTTGTGCACACGATACATCAATGTTTCACAATTGTGCACGCATCCTCGCGTGCATTTTAGCATAATTTGAAAATAATTATAGCCAAAGTTCAACTGTTATTTTACCAAAAGAATAATAAAGTAGTTGTACGGACATATGGTTCCTTCATGCCTTTCGCTTGAAATAGTCTTAAATTGATATTTTGCCCCTTCAATCAAGGATCTCATCATGAATAATTTAAGCTCTAAAACAGTTCAAAAGTTCCAAAATCCAGATACCAAAACAAGCAGCCTTCATAGCTTCACACATACATATACAACCAGAGGATTCAGAACACTTAAAGCATATTTTATATCTCTTCTATATCACAAACTGACTGAACTATACATATCAAAACCAAACCACATCAAAATAGTTCTAACATAAGAATAAACAAAACAAAAACAAAAACTCAGATTCAGGATCTGCAGCTGTCATCAGTGCTTGGAGGCAAACCTGTTGCACAAGGCCAGAGCATTGCTAGTGCACTGTGCAACATTAAGCACCTGAGCTCTGATTGAGGCCTTGATTTTGCCATCCAAGGCCTTGCCAGAGAACCCATCAAGGCAGGTATTGTCGTCAGTCAAAGCAGCACTAACCCAAGTCTCCACATTGCTCATGTGCCACACGAAATCCTGGCCCTTGGATTTGCCCATGTTCTTCAGCTCCTGGACTGATTTGCTGAGCCTGTCCACGCTATCACCCATCTCCTCCAAGCAGTCCTTGAGAGCTCCATACTCCCTAGCCTTCAGCCCCTTAAATTTGGCCAACTTGGTCACAAATGTCTTGGCCTTTTGAGCCCTGGTTAGGCTCACGGACAGGGCAGCCTGGGCCAGCTGCCGAGGGCTTTGCTGGATTGAATTGGCGTAGGAAGAGAGGGATTGGATGCAGACTTGTGGGTAGGTGGTGGCGCTGCATGAGCTCTTTATGAAATTTGTATCACTTGTTGTGGCTGCAGAGTTGGCTGTGCCAAAAAAGTAGAAAATGGGAAGAAGTAGCAAAAAAACAGAGGCTCTAGCCATTGAAGAAAAGCTTCAAACTTTGGACTGGGATTTGAGAGTGGGATTGGATTTGGGAAGGTTAAGATTTGAGAGTGAGAGAAGAGAGAGTGAGAAGGTTGTATATTTATAGAGGGTTTTATGCTGAATTTATGTACACCGTGTATCGGATTTAATTTTTCGTTGTTTTGAAAATAAAAATAAAAATCTTCCTTTGCGTCTTCGAAAGTGAAAAAGGTAAAGATAGATAAAGGGCTTTGGTAGAAATAAATAAATAAACAAAGGGCCACTAAAATCCTTTGTCAACTTAATGAAAACTTAGGCACATGCCACTCTGTATTTTTCAACCTTATGTTTGTAAATTCATTACCTAATTCTTTGCCACCGACGTGACTTTATTTACATTTTATGGGCAGAAAATTGAAATCAATGAGCTTTGATTTGCTAGTAATGTGGGATCCACATATTGGGAGGCTGTTGATTGGGGACAAAAACCTTGGCCAGGAAATTAATTTAATGTCCCCTCATGTGACGTGATGATAAACAAATCTGAGCACGAATCACGGATTATGAAAAAGATTATGTTGGAATTCCTTTAATTATGCAACAAGATTTAGGGAGGGAGTCGTATAAAACATAAGCTGCCAAAGTGACACTGTCTGCCTGTAGCGTCACTGGTGGACTGATATATGACTTTTCCATGATCACTGCGCTTCATCTCCTCAACCAGTGCCTGTTAACTTGCAAACAATTTGGGTTCAATTTGACCTAATTCAAAGTCCTCCATGGGAAAGCAATGTGAAGGGAGGGGTCAAAACAACTAGTTTTTTTATACAAGCATGTTGATGAAAGGTAGTAAAACCCTTTAAAACCCTAAAAACGAGATGTGAAACCCGTAGTTTAAAAACTGTCCAAAGTAATGTGAAAGGAACATAAACTGCAAGGAATGCTTTCTGCTTTTCTTTCACCTTTGAATTAAATTTCATCAACCACCAAAGAGAAAGAAAAGGTTACCAGTCAGTCAGTTCATACTCAACGAGGTCAGTTGAAGGGAGACAAAGGCCTCTGCCGCTCTGCCCCACCCCTTCTCTCTATTATTTTTGGCCTCTGCTTCTGCTCTCAAATCCCTTGCCGACATGATATTTTTTAGTCACTGGATTATCAGAAGCCCAGAAACGAAGATTTACTTCATCTATTATGAACCCTATTATTGATATTATTATATAAAACTAGTGGTTTTGTTTCTACATGTCCATTTTGAAGCACTGCGGAGATTAAAATAAAAAAAGAGAAGAGAATGCAAACTCTGCTTTTGGTTGCTTCTATCACTCCATAAGGACCCACAAAACTGCATTATTGGCATAATTAATTACGATCATGTGACCAACATGAGATATGAACGTCAACATTTCAAGCCTCTTCACAGCACGAGATATGACAATTTGCAGCCGACATGCCCATATCAAAGTTCTGGCCGCCCCCAAAAAACCGGCATAGGTATTAATTGTACATACATATAAACGAATGATTTTTTTGTTTTTGTTTTTTGATAAGATATTTAAACATATTATATAGATTTTGTTTGTTTGTCCTATTTCAAGGGTTAAGAAGAAACACAAATTTTGCAACTAAATAGATGATGTCATAAGCATATGTGTATTAATGTGGACTTAATTCTGTAATAATCATTTGGGCAGAAACCTACGATGTCCCTATAAATAAAGCAAGCTATTGCCTTGCAAAGGAACCACTAGTGTAGTGGTTTTGGAGCAATTGCTCTCATATGCACGGTCATGGGTTCGAGTCCTAACATCCGTATAGTGTGTGTGAGTTTATTATGTTATCACCTCTCTCAATAGGAAAAGTCCTCAAAAAGCAAACTATTGCCATGTTTATGAACAATATATTGGATTAACATTGTAATTCCAGCTTTAATGAGCATGGTTAAGACAAAGAGAAGAGAATGTCTTTGATTGATCCTGAACAACGAGGACCAATTGTTTGTTGGGATGTACGATTTTTTGTGAATCATTGAGCTCAATAATGCCAGGTAATAATGAAAGAGGCTGAAAATAATTAATAGTAGAAGCATCTGGTGGAAAAAGATACTCGAATGATACCTAACGGGCTTTATGATATAAATTTACAGGGTATATTTGAATCAGCACATGCGGCAATTATAGTATATTATACAGCAAATGAATTGAAATATTATTGCATGGTAGCTGGGATTTTGGGTTAATATTAACTTAATTAATCATCTGTCCTTTTACATGCACTGCTGGCTGGAGCTTGTGGACTAATGCCATGGTCTCTTCAGTTAAGAAAAATGAATTATTTTATTTTTTCTTATGTTGGAAATTTACATTTTATCTACTGAACAATAATCTTAATCACATTTCCTCTGAAGCCTTTTTGCAGATAAATTCATGTGTCTTCCCTGTCATAACGAAGGCACGAAAGAGATGAACAGGTGAGGTGGGGTTTTGCAGCCACGAGCAGCCACATGCACTTGTCTGCAAGAAGGGCCCAAGGCCATTTAGGATCCATGTTGAGCCAAGAAGGAAGGACCCAAGGCCAGCTAGAACTAGGGGCAAGCCAACCAGGAGATTTTAATTTTGTGGAATTAAACCTCAAACACTACAGAGATGGGGACTATTAGTCCAATCCTCTCTCCACCATCATCAATCTCACTCTCTCCACATCTTCCAATTTACCCACATAGCCATAAATCTTCATTAAAAGCCCAAAATTGTATTCATTATCAGGCTCCAGCTCAAAAAGCCTTTCAGCTGCAACCTCTCCAATATCTACATTGCCATGAAGGTAGCAAGCATACAGTAATGCACCCCACACAGTTGGCCCAGCCTCGAACTCCATTCCATCCACTATGATACCATAAGCTTCTCTGATTCGACCTGCCCTTCCGTAAAGATTCACCATACAAGCATAATGTTCCATAATTGGGCTAATCCTATATCTATTTTTCATGACAGAATATAATCTCTCACCATCCTTCACCAAACCTAAATGGGCACAAGCCGATAATATTGACACGAATGTGATACTGTCTGGTAAGGCACCAGAACTCTCCATCTGCTCAAAAAACAGCAAGGCTTCCGGGCTTTTAGGATGAGCTGAAATCATAGTATTCCATGTTATGACATCCCTCTCAGGCATATGACAAAACAACCACCTTGCTCGATTCAACTTGCGATGATTCGAATACGCTGCAATCAAGGCATTGGCAATAGACAAGTTCCACTCAACTCCTTGCCGAATTACCCATCCATGGATTTGAATTACAAGCTCCAATGATGACTCTGCAGCTGCGAGGATAGTGGATATGGCAACAGAGTCTGCCTGGTGCCCTTCATGAAGCATTTCATGAAAGATGTCCAAAGCCTGCAACAGCAGCCCATGACGCATGTAACTCGTGAGCATGGTGTTCCAAGAGACGTGGTCTCGACTAGTAATCTTATCAAACACTTTCCGAGCCTTCACAATGTCACCACATTTGGCATACATGTCCACCAATGCATTCAGCACAAACCTGTCATTCAATAAACCCAATCGCACTATATGGCGATGCACAGCCTCACCTATTTGAATGAACCCTATTCCCCCACAAGCTTTCAAAACACGAGGGAACGTGAACCGGTCCGGTTCAACTCCCTCTTCCTCCATTTGGAAGTATAGCGCCATAGCATCCTCATACAAACCCAGTTCTGCATACCCCGAGATAAGTGAATTCCAGGCGAAAGCAGACACGTCCCTCTTAGGCATTTCATCAAACACCTGGTGAGCCTCCTCGATATACCCATGCGTAGCATAGAGCCGAAGAAGTTTCGACGAGATGCCTACATTTCTACGCAAAACGCTTCTTGGGATAAGACGGTGAACTCGGAGACCGTAGTCCATGGCTTGAAATTGATAGCATGTTTCTAACAGGGAAGCAAAAGTTTCGGTATCGACGTTTATGCCTTTATCAATGGCTGCTTCAAGGTCACTGACGACGGCGTCGAGGGCTTGGAGCTTGGTTTGGGTATGGGGTTTATGGTAGATAATGAGGGGGGTTGGGATTGTTTTCGGGAAAGAGAGGGAATTGTTGCTTTGATTTTGGTTAACTTGTTTTTGCTTCTTGTTTTTCTTGCTCTTGGAAGAGCAGATGCTCAGTTTTGCTGTGTGGAAACTTAGGGGTTGTAAAGTGGTCACCATTTGTGAAAGGATTGTTGGACCAACCAGATGATGGTCATGGTCATGGAAAGAAACTAAAAACAATTTTTTTTGAGTTGCTTGCTGGTATGGGCCTATGAAAACTAGCCCAATTGCAGATCTTGAACTTTGATTCTAAAAAAATGATGATCTTTTATCTTTTGGGTTTTTTTTTTCTGTGCATAATTCAAGATCTAGGATTTAGCTTTCTCGATACAACAAAGTGATCTCAGTTTAAAATTAATTTAAGAATTCTTCGACGAGAGGCCCGTCTATCCCTTAAATATAAGATTAGCTTTAGAATAACAGTAATGGGATGGGCCTCGGTTAGCTTTCGAATTAACAATAAAGCCCAAAGTTATGTATCTTACATCATCATCATCACAATGTACAAAGCAATCTCTGCATTAATCTTGGCTTATCATCTAATTAATCATACCCAAATCAGAACTCACGTAGCAATTGACCATCAATCAAACCCAAACTCTACTCTGAATCAAAGAAAAAGGGTCGGAAAAAAAACTGAAAATTAAAGAAGGTATTATTGATCTCCTTTAAAATTGGATTGCGTTGCGTGATCAAAAGGGATGTTGCTTTGCTTTGCTGCCTCAACACTCAAAGTTTATTATGACTAATAAAAAATAGTTGATTGGTTATTAGCAGCAAACAACTCTACCAGACCAACCAACACCTTTGAAATTTTACAACACACGTTGAATTAATGGAGAAAAGTTGCAACTCCTTTTCTTTTTTTCTTTTTTTCTTTTTTCTTTTTGGCAGTTTAATTGATTATGATTGGTAATAGCTTAATGACGGCAGATAAACTCACGCATTACATCACTAATTTAGATAATGATTTCGTAAGGTTTAGGATACAAAAACAAGTTATGATTCCCTTTTCTAGGTTTTATTATTATTATTATTATTATTATTTTCTGTTTGGTGGGTCTTCACACTCAGGATGTTTCAGATTTTCTAAAGCTGAAAAAAAACAAGTGCGGATCGTTTGGTTGTAGGTAGTTAGCAAACACTGCACACATATTTCACTATCAACATTGCATTTGTATACTAGCATGTGATTTACAAAGGGAAAAAATATATATTTGCTTTCTCACATTTATCTATTCACAAGTCCTCGTACAGTGATTTGGCTTGAACAGAATCGAAATTGAGTTCGAGCCAATTCTTATGGGCTAATGCTTAAAATTCACTAAATAACGACATGAATGTTAATTCAGTTTAGATAAAATAATTTAGTAAGACGGAGCCACTAGCCGTGAAAATTTACAAAAATCCAACTTGTAAGATGAAAAAAGGCACAAAATAAGATGGGCAAAAACCAGAAACACACTTGAAAATTTCAATGGTGTGTTGTGACGATATGGGTGATGAAATGCTTAAGTAAGAGTGAGACGAAGATTGAAGAAAGGTGGAGAAATTGTAGTGCAATTTGAAAAAGAAAAGGCCGATGCTTAGGTGTAGCTTTATGATTGACTGCAGAATTTGCCAACTGAAATCCCCCACATGGATGAGGACAAGTGGACTATAATCAATCGATATCGTGCGCTCCTATATTAATATTTGGCCCCACTCTCTTACATCAAGCAACTGCATTCACGCGCCTGTAAAATTAATTAACCCTAAATTATTTATTTCCTTTTATAATTTTATATTAGAATCCTTTGAATAGGACTGAGGCAGGCATGTACTTATACAAAGTCATTTTCTTGTCATGAATTTATCACCACATCCACAAATTCACAATGCAACTGGAATGATACCCTTGGAAAGGACCTTTTTCTTGGGCTATGCATGCGCCATTGGGACCAAAATTGCACAAATTAAATAATTTATTTACTAATTTCTTATGAGAATTTATTCATCTATATATATAAAGCACCAAAGGGTTTTTTTTTTTTTTCTTTTCTTTTGATACTCTCAAAATTCTTATGTGGCGGTGCATGCTTATGAAAAGTTTGATAAAGGCACTCCCTTTTTATGTAAACATTTGCATATTCCAAAAGGGTTTATTTAGTGTCAACCAAAAAAAAAGGGGGGGTTATCTTTACTTCTGTTTTGGTTAAGGATGGCAAAAGGTAAAAAAGTAGGTTTGGCAAATGCAATATTAGGAAGAGGAGGAACATGAAATTATGGGCATCCCCAATGCCCCATGGGTGAGACGAAAAGCTTTGGTTGGTGGGGTAGATGGATTAGAGCTTTGCCAATTTGGTACCCAGGTCATAAAAAAAAAAAGGCTAAATGCCATGGAAAGTGTCAATTTAAATTTGGTCCAAAATTTAGTTGTGACATCCACGCATATAAGTCAAGAGCGTGAGACTTAGTGTACATTTTTTGTTTTTGTTTTTGTTTTTTTTTTGTTCTTATTGATTTCCCCTAAAAGAAAGGCAGCCACTACTCACAGTTAGTATATAAAGGAAGGTGAGTGGGGCTTTGGCGTAGCAAGTACTACACACTACACTTAGCAGCACAAAGAAAGTAATGGGAAGGCAACCTTGTTGTGACAAGCTTGGTGTGAAGAAAGGGCCATGGACTGCTGAGGAGGACAAGAAATTGGTGAATTTTCTCCTCGCACACGGCCAATGCTGTTGGCGCGCTGTCCCCAAGCTCGCCGGCCTCAGGCGCTGCGGCAAGAGCTGCCGCCTCCGGTGGACTAACTACCTCCGGCCTGACTTGAAAAGAGGCCTCCTTAATGAAGCTGAGGAGCAACTTGTCATTGACCTCCATTCCCGTCTTGGCAATAGGTTCGCTTTTGTTCTTTGCTATACTTTTCTACTGCTCTTGTCACCAACCATTCTCTAGTTTCTTCATCTTTTAGGACCCATAAATCATGTATAACATTATAATCAAACTTTTTTTGACACCACACTGTTTAAAGAGCTTAAAGCTATAACAACTTCAGCTGTGCAAAACAGCACTTGCTATGCTTATTCTAGTATAAATATCACTTCTTTTAGGTAACCTTTTTTGTTTTGTTTTACTTGACATGTAATTAGCATAATTTGAGCTGTGATTTTGCCTCCAGGTGGTCTAAAATTGCAGCAGGATTGCCTGGAAGAACTGACAATGAGATCAAGAACCACTGGAACACACACATCAAAAAGAAGCTTATCAAGATGGGCATTGATCCAATCACCCATGAACCTCTCCGCAAGCCAGTCACTCCACCAGAAATGCCTTGTAAACCAAACAATCCACCTGCAGATTTAGACATGAATCAGGAGAACGTGAATATCCCAGAACATGGAATCTCTTCTGCAGCTGAAAGTTCCTCAAGCAATGAATCCCGGCCATTGGAGCCTAACCCTAAGAGTGAAGATGACCCGTTGATGAGCTACATATTATTCGGTACATTCCTGGAAGATTTGACATGGGATTTTTCAGCCTCATCAGAAGATAGCTCACCAGCTGATAATCCGGCGGAGGATAATAGCTTAGCATGGTTCTTGGACTGTAAGGATTTTGGAGTTGAAGATTTCGAGCTCGGGTGTATCAATTAGTGACTGACAGACGGTCATATATTTTCAGTACCAGAATCCACAAAAAAGTTACCAACCAAAGCGCTCTCTCTCACTCTCTCTCTCTATAAGAAGTACATAGCCAAACAAAGTAACCAATAAAAAAAAGAAGAAGACGACTTTGTATGTTGGACACTTAAATCATTCTATCTGAAAAATGATGAGGCAAAGGAACGAAAAGACCAACAACTTGTTTAAGAGATCTGTTTATTCTCTTTAGCATTTTGATTGATTCCCACTAACACTATTTAGTGGAATATCTGTAGTTTTAAAATGTAGACTAGTTTATTAAACTAGTAGCCAGCCAGTGGCCAATGACATCAACATATGGGTTGGTAGGTGGGGTGTCCTTTTGCAACAAAAACTACCACACACCAATTTGAAAAAAACAAAAAGAAAAAGAAAAAAGAAATAGATGTCATATAACTTTTGATACATTTAGTCATTGCAAAATAAAGCTCAGTTTTTTTAAAAAAAAATAGCTAAAAATAAGTACAACTCTGGATGGAAACCCTCAAATTCACGTAATTGCATATGAAGTTTTCTCTTTTGATGTCCTTATCCAATGATTTTTCTGGAGAGTGATATTTCGTTCTCCTGTCTTTTTGGCTAATAAATAAATAAGCATAGATCATCAAACATTCTTTAGTTTTAACTATTCTGCGGATTGAATAGTGGGGTATTTTATTTTATTTGGCATTATATGATAAGTAAAGAAATGAAATGTGAAATGAGACACATCATCACGCACCAGAAGCTAGAGCACCATCGTTATTATAACACTTTCTTGCCTTCCAAACACGTACTTTTGGCTTTTATAAACACCAAATTATTGTATATCTTCCAAAGGGAGAAGGTGTTTTAAGTGTGGACTCAAAAAGATGAAACCCTAATTTAAAATCCACGTTCTTTTACATAAGAAAAACCCCAGCATCATTCCAATATCCACTATTAGATTTAGATGTGGCACTGCCGTTTATTGTCTGACATATGCATATCCACTATTAGGTTTATAGATTAAACGGTTTCAGGCTTTCATCCCAGTCATGTTTCTGGAAGAAAATTTCTTCAAAGCAAACACCGGATTCGACGCATATAACATAAATGGAGCTCATCATCTTTTAATTGCGGCCAAAGCTCCTACATTTGTGGAAATTTTTTACTCGTGCCTTCCTAATCCAAAGTGAAAAGAACAACATGATTAAGTTTAATCTAACTTTCCAACTAGCCAGTTGCTCTAGAAGACAATAAGGTTACATTACATCCAACTATATCCAAGAGACCATGAATATATTGCCTAAGTCTAATTTTTACCCCGCAGATTTTAAACAGCTCACTAAAATTAAAAAGGGAACAAAATTTTCTACTGAAAATATATATACAAGAAACTCATTGCGTAATCAAGACCAAAAGATCTCAACAGGCCTTTTGCAGTGATAATCCATTTTTAGAATGGAAAATTAGTGAAACAGTCAAGTGAGATTAACTAGACCAGCTTCAGGAGCAGCCTACCTTTGCCCTTCAGGAAGAACAACTGCTATTGATGAGGCACTTCCTGAACTATTCATGTTGATGACTTTTCTCCAACGAACCGCATTTAAAGGGACAGTAAGCTGGGAGCACTAGGTCTAGGTCAGAGCATAGATTTGTTAAAGGCTTAAAGCAGCAATGTCTACTGTCATGGAACGGATGACTTTGAGGCATCTGGGGACTCCTTGGCGCTCTTCACGAGAAGATCATAATTGATAGAAGCTAGCTGCGACAAGTTCTGAGAACAGAAATAACATATGAATCTGCTAAACCCCTAGAGCAAGAACCACCACCAGTCATTTTCATCTGGCATCTAAAGTCCCTTCCAATGGAGAAAATATGTTCAGGTTCACAGGACTTACCTTAAATGAAAAATTACTAAATGAGTACTGCACATCAAGGGTTGGAGCACTAAATTCCGCCAAACTGCCAAATTCATCCCCCTGAATCACAGACATACAATGGTCAGGTGGCTAAAATAATAGTCCCACTAGAATGCACCAGGGTCAACAAATTTATGAATTCAAAGTACAATTGTTAATGGATTTCAAGCACACTTCGAAATCAGATCTTCGGTACATCCTTGTAGTCCATATACTTCCATATCAACTTGGATGCAGTAAGAGCTATGGTCTGGCCTTTAACAGCTCTATGTGCATAGAGACTGCAAAAAAGAAAAAAGAAAAAAAGAGATCATATGTAGGAGAATGCATACATCTTCGTCTTGTATATTGCTACATGAACCGCTGCTGCATGTTTCAGTCATTTCATCAAAATCGCTGGCGCCATTAACATGCTCATCTTCTGGATTCCATATGTACCGGCTCATGAAATAACTTGTATCATGTACATCTGTTGATGGTATGAACATTGCCTGCAGCCAATATGGATACTCTTGACCATCACAGATATGCCAACAATCATTGTAAAACTTGAATAAATATAACTTGAAATGACCTTCTGCCTCGCAAGTGTATCCCAGTTAACATCCTTGAAGAAAATATGTTGCTTCACCTGCCAGAAAAGACACAAAACTTAATTCTATCTTCATTCCGACTTACAAATGAATTTTCATCAGTAGTCAATAAATTACCTCCCTGGAACCTGTTGCTCCAAGTCTTTGAACTGGGTTTTCGGTCATCAATCTGACAGGAGTGCAAAGGAAATGTAAGTAAGATGAAGGCATGCTGTCTTCAAATTCTAAATGAGAGGACTTTAGATATCTTAGTCTGACAGACTTCTCTTGAAAAATAGAGACACATTAGAAATCTACATAAGCAGTCACAATAAAATTGTAATTAATACATCCAGAAACATATCTCTTGTAATCTTTCTTACTTGTCAATCAAATCATATGCTTCATAGCTCATCTCCTCAGGTACCTTAGGCCAGGGAATATCTCTGTTTATTATATTGTTGAAAATTTGCTGCAATAAGTAGGATCTATAAGTAACAATGTCAAATTTTTCACCCAAGACTCTCAAATGATCTGACATTAAAAGATGTTACAATTCCCGGTTATAAGGATCACAAAAAATCATTCAGATGTTAAGGATGCTATAAAAGACTTGGAGCAATGTTAAGTAGAAATAAGAGCAATAGAGAAATACCGTAGTGCAGAAAATATACAACGAAATGTAAAACCAGTAAATGATAAATTCAATAAAATTTTGGTGAAGAGTTGAACTTAATCCTTCACGAACAGGCTGTAAGAACCACCAGAAAAAGAACTTAATCCTTCATGAACAGTCCAAAAAAAAACCACCAGAACAATTTTAGGAACAAAATATTAGAAGAACAAACTGCTGTGCCAATGAAAAGGAGGAGAAAGATTAATGCTCATAAGATATTCATGAGTTTACTGAAGAGTGTATATAGAATTTATGCATATATATAATATATACACAAAATCCTCTCTTAAGTTCCTTAAGTAAGGACCTGTTTTTTTATGACAGAAGATGATTACATTCAATAAAGAGGGAAAAGAAGAAAACGCCAAAAAAAAAACAAACAAACGCCCAGAAGTCCAAAAACAATTTAAATTAACGCCCACCATAGTTAGACTGCATACCTGTGGATGGTCTGCATTGAACGGTGGAAGACCAACAAGCAGCTCAAAAAGAATAACGCCCACAGACCACCAATCAGCAGTTGCACTATGCCCCATGCCAAGAAGTATTTCAGGTGCCAAATAATCAGGGGTGCCAACAACTGAATGTTTCTGGCGCTGTGTCCTTTCTGATGAAGGCTGAGTTTTTGGTTCATCATCTCGAAGAAAACCAGTATCACTAACTGATGGACCTGATAAGTCATCAGTGCTGCTGATTAGACCAACCTTGGAGAGCCCAAAATCTGTCAACTGTAACATAAGGGATTAGACATTTGTGAGAAGTGACAAGTAAACACTTTAAGGCAGAACCTACGCAGATGATACAAAAAAAAAAACAGATGCATGATATAATACCAGAATGCTTTTACTATGGCCAAACTTATCTCCAACTATATAAAAGAGGGGGGGAATTATGTAAAAGAACTAAGACCGCAAAATATTGACCTTGATGTGACCATCTTGACCAATCAACAGGTTGTCTGGCTTCAAGTCTCTATGGATAACATTTAATGAATGCAAATACTCCAAAGCAAGAACCTTTAAAAAGAAAAGAGAAAACAAAAGATTACTTATACTGTTATAGCATCTATGAGAAAAAAATTAGAGAGATAGAAATGAAAAAGTGAATCTGGAGAGGAAAATGGAACAAAAGATACTAGTATTCCCTTACAACTTCTGCAATATATACTTTGGCCATATCTTCATCTAAGCAGCCTAGATTTCGTAGTAAAGAGTAAAGATCTCCACCATTTAAGTACTCCATGACCAGATACAGGTTTTCCCTGCATGTGAACGAATAGAAAAATCGGACCTGCTCATCATCAGAAGTACATGTTAGAAAGTAATTCCAAATGCAATGCATTCTTAAAGTGAACTGTACATTTTGGGGGCCCACTCACCACAAAAGGATTGCGAACCAATATAAGGATGTTACGCTCCGCCAAAATACTTTCAACAGCATTTTTACGAATCATATCAGCCTTCTTTAATACCTTCAGAAATGTACCACCAGAATCAGTTTTGAAAACAGACTTATCTTGAAACATTTACTTGCAATTAAAAGATGGAAGCATTTTCCATGGCTTAAAACACATAGAAACAAACAGACCTTTATAGCAAATAAGTCACCAGTCGCTCTTTTTCTGGCAAGAAAAACTCGCCCAAATGCACCCCTGCTTATTGGTTTTATTATTTCAAAATCTTCAATAGATGTTCGATCCTTAGAACACGGATTGATGGGGCTGGCACGCAGACTACGAACTGCTTCATCTTCAACTGAACTTTCTTCATCAGCCATACCATTTGACGAATCCACTTTCTCATCTTCTATCTGCCCACAAAGATGTACATATTTTTCCCTGTAAATTTCAGAATTATCCTTATAATCAGAGATGCTTTTACTGGACTTTAAATAATTAACCAATCATTTGAAGAAATATGAAAAACATAATGACGACAGAAGGTAAAAATGAGACAATTTTGTTAATGCTCGAATCAAGAAATTTTTTTGGGGGGATTCACAATTGTACAAACCACAAGAGACATGCAGCAATAAATTATGGCTTCCACTCACTGCAATAATTTTTCTATACGCCTTCCAAAAGTCTCTACAACAAGGGCATCGACCTTCCTATCCTGGATGGCGTATTTTAGGTCTTCCAGTCGTTCAAGCATGTACTCCAATGCACTGTATTCACAATTGCTAACATTTGCAATGGAACGGG